CATAGATTCAGTGGGGAAGGCACATAAGCCCTTGTACTGGCCCTGATCACAGAGAAACTTTTCTGTCTGCCATCAGCATGACTTGATGTTAAAGCAACACTTTTTCTTTTGCTCATGTTTTCCACTGACATGAAGTGGTGTGATTATATTGACTCAGTTGATTCCCATGTATCATCCTGTTTTGAATGAATGCTTCTTGCTGTATAATTTGAATTTGTGTAAGTATGTATGTGTGTGTGTGTGTGTGTGTGATGATGATCATCACACTTGGCTAGGCAGTGCTTGGTAACCTTCACTATCTTATCAATATTTCCTTTATTCTACTTATGTTTATATATGTTACAAATTAAACTAAGCAAAATTGACTATTAAAGGATCAAAAAATTATTTGGGATTTTGATGTCATTCTGTTTTTGTTTTTTTTTTTGTCCAATTCTGTGAATTTGTTTTGTCCATGCTAAGTCTAAAAATAAACACTATGTAAAATTCACTATTTTTTATCCAGAATGAAGCATGTATTAAATTGTTCAACAAATTTCTCAAGTTCATGTTAAAAATTGCCACAAAACATTGATTTAAGACGAAATGATCTATTATGACATGTCTCTAATTTGTATTTAGATACAGTGTATTTATTTTCAATTTTTCTACCTGAATTGTTCACCTATATCACATATAATCCATTTATAAATAGTACCCTATAAAAATTGCAATGTAGTAGAGTGGGAGGATCCTGTATCATAAATTTGGGTGTGGCAGGGTTCCACGTGACCCTTGCACCGGTCCTGACATAACAAAGTGGAAAAATTTTTTTTGTGTACAAATTTTGTCCTTTAGGTCTTCAAAGAATGCTTTTGTTACTACACTTGTGCATTAATAAGAGAGGACATTGAAAAGTTAAATTAAAATTTTCATTTTTTTTTTCTTTTTAAAATATGTTTTGCGTATATAGTCTGTCCAATTCCAACATTTCAAAATAGAAAGGTGGACCATTAGCACAAACCCAACTAATCCAAATATATTGTTTCACCCACTATCAGAACTGTAACTGAAAAGAATTTATCATATATATATATATATATATATATATATATATATATATTAAGAAATGGACAAGGTCCGACAATTTTTTATTACAAGTATTTAAGCAAATTTAGAGCATTTGCTTAAATACTTGTATCTATAAAATAACAACGTTAAACATAATAAAATGTCTTTAATAAATATATATATATATATATATAAATGAATGGAGCACTATGGCTGCTTGGCAATTGTTTATGTATATAAAAACAATATGCTAGATTTGGCTGACTCATTGTCAAACTCTGACTGACACCAAATCAATTCTTTCAATCCTGGCTTGAGGCATTCAGTTGTCTAGTTGCACTGAGGAGCTGTGATACAGTGAAACAGTACTGTCTGCAAATGACAGATATATATTGTACTATGCACTATCAGAACTGCAATTGAAAAGAATTTATCAAAGAATAACATAAAATATGTTACAGCCACTTCTCGAACATTAAGTCTTAATACAAAAATAAATAATAATCAGCCAAAACTGTAAGGAGGAATTTACTCTATCACCTGTAATGATTGCCACAAGAAATACATCAGAGAAACCTCAAAGATTTTAAATAAAATATCTTATGAACACAAATGGGTTCTTTTACAAAATAACACACTCAATACATTAGTTACTCAACATAATGAGTCTGAGCATAATTTTGATTTAAATTTAATTAAAGGATAATTTTTTTAAATATTTTTTACAAGAAAGCAATTTACTTTGACAAAAGTTTATAGAAATTGCTTTAATTGCTAGTTCATCCACATTAAATTTATGGCCAGGCTCTATGGCAGATCTTCTATTATCACAATGTGCAATATTTAATTATGAAAGTGATGAAAAAAAAAATTTAATTTAAAATTTCAGCATCCCCATTCCTTCAAGTGCACATGTAATCAAATCAGCATAAATATCACTTTTGTCTGTTGAAGTCCTACAAGAATAAAAGCATCACACAAAAAAAAAATGTTTCCAGTTTGTCATAGATTTTCATAAAATTCTTCTTGATATATAAAAATTTATATAGTGTTTTCCTATATATATATATATATATATATATATATAGGAAAATATTTAAACATATATTGTTAAATAAAACCAACAATGAGTGTCTATTATGTTTGATCATGATCCATTCCAAACTTCATATGGTTACTTTAATTTCGTGTGAAAATAGTGAAGGCCATCTACATTAAATCAAAGTGACTCACACTCAACACAATTACCTTTCAAACTAGTCACAACATATCTAGACATATGGTTCTGTTGTTAATATTTCAGCCTCTCATGTGGTATGACGTCATAAAACCGCATCCTGAATTTACGACCTGCATCTGCTATTCTGTGACCGTTATCATTGCATAGCAATCTTCTATGTCAACATAACAGAATATCATCTTTGATAGTGAATATCTTTGTTAAAATGTCCATATAACCATTCTGAAGATGGCTCATGTGAGCCGAAACCTTAGATCAAAGAACAACATTTTTTTTAATTTTTTTTTTAAGCGTTTCACCCCAAGGAAGGTGGGAAGCCACTAGGACCAAAGGGGTTACAGAAAATTTGGAGCAAGATCAGATAGGAGTGATAGAAGAAAGGATGAGGAGAAGAGTAGTGGATAAATCAAGGCAACTGGAGATGTTGACTGACATTACATTTGAATAGCTGGAGATTATAGCTCTCAGGGAAACTGGAATAGGGAAGGGAGCTCCACAGGCGAGAGGTGCGAGACATGAAGCTATTAGAGTAGAAAGAGACGGCTACATCGGAGTGCCCTGACAGTGAAAGGGTGAGAGAGCGGATGCCAGCCTCAGAGGGCGCTTGAACTCATGAAGTCTGGGAACCAGCGAATGCAGCTCCTTGGAGCAATTGCCATGAAAGTATTTGTAAAACAGACAGAGAGAGGCAACAGTGCGTGTGTGAGAAAGTGACTGTAGATGAGATGCCAGATCAGGGCCAATTATATTGCATATTTGCCTCTGAAGCCTATCAAGAATCCCGAGGCAAACAGAAGGGGCTCCAGACCATATATGGCAGCAATACTCCATGCAAGGACGAATTGTTGATTTGTAGATCTGGAGGATCGATTCCGGGGAGAAAAATGTTCTGGCACGGCACAGGGAGCCAACTTTCCTTGCGGTGGACGAAGCAATTGACTCAATGTATTTGTTCCATCTCAGGTCAGCCGTCACCGTGAGACCAAGCAGCCGCAGAGAGTTGCTCTCGAGAAGTTGAGCGTCAGACATTCTAATGGAGGGCAGGTAAGGATCTCTATGGCGATTAATAGAGAGCAGTTTTGTTTTTGAAGCATTAAAGTTGACCAGCCAATTCCTGCCCCAGTTCACAACCGATTGGAGGTCCTTTTCGAGACGCACAGCCAGGTTAGTTTTGTCACTGACACTAGATTTGTTTTTGAGGCAGGAATAAATTGTGGTGTCATCTGCGTAGATGCCAACTTAGGAATTTATGGTGTCAGGAATGTCATTTATGTAGATAAGGAATAGAGTGGGGCCTAGGATGGAGCCTTGAGGAACATCTGCGTTCATGGGATAGGAACTGGAGGAGAATCCGTTGAGAATGACCTTCAATTCATGGTTTGACAGGAATGATTGTATCAGGTCAATGAGTGTTTGAATGCCTGCATGGTCAGTAGTAGCATTCTTAAGCCACATGATATGATGGGCGTTAAAGTCACCAAACACAAATATGTGAACAAACAGGTGGAGGGAGAGAGCCTTGTCTATGCTGTTAGAAATGCTATCGAGTATCCCACAGTCTTGAGAGGATGGAGAGCGGTAAAGGGAGAAGAGATAGCTTACTGCATTGAGAAGAGAATAATAAAATATTTCCAAATGTTGGATAATTTAAAGCAACCATACAAAGTTTAGAATGGCTCATGATCAAACATAATAGACATTCATTGTCTGTTATATTTAACAATATGTTTGTGTGTGTGTGTGTGTGTATATATGTGTGTGTGTGTGTGTCTCTATATCTGCATAAATAGGTACACCATTAAAACTATAGGCCACGTTTGAAAAAGGATTTTACACAAAGATTTATTTTTCAACATAATCTCTTCTTTGCTGAGGCACTTAATTAAGTGGGGAACATAAACGATTAACTTTCAACACAACTAAATATATATATATATACATATATATATATATATATATATATATAAGGACTCTTTCTTCAATTACAGAGTATGTGGGCTGAACAATTTAGTCCAACATTTGATATTTTTTATTATGTTGGACAATTTTTGTCTTTATTTTCACCCGCAATTAAAGCAAACATACAAACTTCAGGATGGCTCATGATCAGACATAATAGACATTCATTGTCTGTTATATTTAACAATATATGTTTCAATAATGATCTGCTGGCACAATATACACACACACACACACATATATATATATATATATATATATATATATATATATAGTATTTGGACAGCAATCCCTCTTTTATACAAGTTTTGTTAAAAATGACCGACATTGAACTGTGGTTAAGTTTTTTATTTAATTTTTCTTGCACCATAATTTTCTTCTTTACTGGACATAAATTATGTAGAAATTGTCCAAAATGTTCTGTATATCCGAATGCTTTCAGCTATACTTTTGGTTATTATCAAATATTTTTACTTTTAACTGAATGTATGAATTTTTTTATGTATCTATCTAGAGTTATGAGACTGTATTTATTTTCCAAATACGGTCAGCACATTATGGTCATGTTCATAGTTGATGTCATTGAGTATTGGCATTTTCTTTTTTATTAATAATGCTTTCATTATTTTTAGCCTTTGTTTTTGCATGGGGGTGAAACTCTCTTCTCTTCCTAACTTCACAGTTGGAACACAAGAGAATATTAGAAAAATATAAAAGAAGAGAGGGAGTAAAAGAATCGAAAGAGATATATTTAACATAAAATTGATAGAGAAGTGAAAGAGGAAGATAAAGAGAAGGAAGTAGAAGAAAAGAGAAGGAAGTAGAAGAAAGTAGAAGAAAAGAGAGGGAAGTAGAAGAAAAGAGAGGGAAGTAGAAGAAAAGAGAAAGATAAAGAGAGGGAAGTAGAAGAAAAGAGAAAAATAAAGAGAGGGAAGTAGAAGAAAAGAGAAGGAAGTAGAAGAAAAGAGAAAAATAAAGAGAGGGAAGTAGAAGAAAAGAGAAAGATAAAGAGAGGGAAGTAGAAGAAAAGAGAAAGATAAAGAGAGGGAAGTAGAAGAAAAGAGAAAAATAAAGAGAGGGAAGTAGAAGAAAAAGAGAAAATAAAGAGAGGGAAAAAGAAAAAAAGAGAAGGAAGTAGAAGAAAAGAGAAAGATAAAGAGAGGGAAGTAGAAGAAAAGAGAAAGATAAAGAGAGGGAAGTAGAAGAAAAGAGAAGGAAATAGAAGAAAAGAGAAAAATAAAGAGAGGGAAGTAGAAGAAAAGAGAGGGAAGTAGAAGAAAAGAGAAAAATAAAGAGAGGGAAGTAGAAGAAAAGAGAAGGAAATAGAAGAAAAGAGAAAAATAAAGAGAGGGAAGTAGAAGAAAAGAGAAGGAAGAAGAAAAAGAGAAAATAAAGAGAGGGAAGTAGAAGAAAAGAGAAAGATAAAGAGAGGGAAGAAAAAGAAAGATAAAGAGAGGAAGTAGAAGAAAAGAGAAAGATAAAGAGAGGGAAGTAGAAGAAAGAGAAGGAAATAGAAGAAAAGAGAAAATAAAGAGAGGGAAGTAGAAGAAAAGAGAGGGAAGTAGAAGAAAAGAGAAAAATAAAGAGAGGGAAGTAGAAGAAAAGAGAAGGAAATAGAAGAAAAGAGAAAAATAAAGAGGGAAGTAGAAGAAAAGAGAGATAAGTAGAAGAAAAGAAAAAGATAAAGAGAGGGCAGTACAAGGAAAGAGAGGGAAGGACAAGAAAAGAGAGGGAAGCACAAGAAAAGAGAGGGAAGCACAAGAAAAGAGAAAGATGGAGAGAAGAGAAGAAAGCAGAAGAAAAAAGAAAAATAAAGAGAGGGAAGTAAAAGCAAAGAGAGGGAAGGAAAAGCAAAGAGAGGGAAGGAAAAGAAAGGAGAAAGATAAAGAGAGGAAAGTAGAAAAAAAGAGAAGGAAGTGGAAGCAGAAGAAAAGAGAGGGAAGTAGAAAAAAGAGGGGGAAAGTAGAAAGAAAGATAAAGAGTTGGAAGATTTTACAAGTTTATAAATGTACTGATGATTGTTGAAATAAACAAGCAAAACTGAATTCTTCCCTTACCCAACACAAAAAGCTTACAGATTCAGTCATGTAACTGTTTGTGAGAAAACATAAACAGAGAGATGGTTGGAATAAATCTAAAGGTAACAAAAGAAATAAAAATGTACAGTAGTCTAGTCTTATCCTAAGGGTATCTATTCCAAGACCCCCCCAACAGATGCTTGAAATTGAAAATAGTACCCAACCCTATATTTACTGTTTTTCTCCTATACCTACCGATGATAAAGTTGAAGTCATAAATTAGGTACAATAAGAGATTAGCAACAATAATAAGAAGAACGGTTATAAAAATGTATTCTAACAAAAGTGATATAACGAATAAAAGATTCATTCTTACCATAGATCTTATGAGGCACAATAAGAGATTAACAAAAATACTGAAAATCAAAATAGAATAAAAATGGTTCTCTGTGTTATACGAGACAATTTTTCTTGCCAGAATCTACCTTTCATATTTACAAATCTACTATTTGTCCTTGTTTAGAATATTGCTGCACATATAGTCTGGTATTCCTACTATACATTTAGAGATTCTTGATAAAATCCAAAGAAGAATCTGCAATGTCAGTGATCCTGATCTGGCATCTTAGCTTCAGTCCCTTTACAACCACTGTAATGTAGCTTCTCTGTGTCTTTTCTATAAATACTTTCATGGTAATTGTTCGAATGAACATTCCTCTATGGTACCTAAATTTTATGAATTTAAGCATTTTATGAATTTAATGATGAGACTTTGCTGCTAATCTAGTACTGTACTAATTGGCAGCAAGGTCTCATCATTTTACAGTTGGAATGGCTAGATGTAACCATAAGTTCTATAGTAACAGTTTCATCTATTGCACTTCTCCCTAATGGAACGCTTTTCCAGCTTCTTACTTTCCAGTCAACTTTGATCTTCAAAAATTTAAATGCACTGTCAATTACTATTTTCTTAATTCCTCTTCTTTTATTGTCCTCTTTCCTTCATAATGTTTTCCTATATTCTTTCACACTCAGTCGTCCACTGAATCTTTGTGGCTTTTTTGCTTTGTTTGGCATGAAAAAATTTTTCTTTTTTTTATCATAGAACATAAGGTGTGGAAATTTTCTCCGACAAATCTACTTCCTAAAATGGGACCAAACAGCCAAACATTAGATTTTAAGAGATTCATGGTCAGGCCAAAAAGTTCTGCGTGTGTGTGTGTGTGTGTGTGTGAGAATATTTTTTTTTTACAGTGAGGTTCACCCTTTACAAGGTCAAGAGGCCACTTGAGTTAGAGGGTTACTGAGTAAGAGTCATAGCTTATGTGGATATGAGGGGAAGATAATGGTTAACCCTAGACTTGAAGTTAAGGAGTTGGTTCCACAGAGCAGCAGTTCATGAGAAGCTGCTGCTCAGGTGGAACTTATTTCTCATGAATGGAATATGGTTGTGGGGGCAGTTTTCTACAATGTGCCTGGCATGGTGGGTCCTAGCCATGAAGGTTAGAACTGGTGGAACCAAGGAATATAGTTTGTCGGAGCAATGACAAGCTTGACACATCCCATCTGTGAGAGTGGGGTTTCACGGTAGAAAGTAATTTGTCACCCACAAGGATGTTGACACTTTTATTCTCTATTTAGACTAAAAAGTGAGGACTGGGCAGCTCCTGCATAAACATGGTAACAGTTTTTTTCCTGATCTAGCTCTTGTAATGGTAGAGGATAGCATAAGGAGTCAGGTACTTCCTGGAGCAGCACAGGGAGCTGACCATATTTCCTGCATCTTTAGCAATGGACTATACGTATGAGTTCCTCTTGAGGTCTGGAATTAGTTTCAGGCCCAATAGTCTCTCAATGAGGCCTCTCTGAGGAGAGGTACATTCATTGTGACTGGTGATAGTTTGGGGTCTGATCGGCAATGATGGAATGTAAGTAGTTTGGTTTTTGAGATATTTAACTTGACCAGGCATTTTTCCCCTCAATGAGATGTTACAGCTAAATTGGATGAGAGATCAGCTGCCAATCTCTGGTCATCATGAGTTTTAGAGATGAACTTATACATCGCTCTATCATCGGCATTGATACACTTCGGCAGATCATTTCTGTAAAGTAAAAAAATGGTTGTTCCAAGAAGAGACCAATGGGGTATACCTGAGTTGTGCAAAAACAAAGAAAACAAACATAATACAGTAGAATCCCACATATCTAGACATGATTTTGATGTGTATATCTGAACTTTTTGGGTGATATGTAACTGATTTGAAATTTCTGTTCTTAAGGAAATTTACTTTGGATAATTGCTTATGCTTATTTCATCCTAATGGCTTGTATTGGTGCAAAAGATGATGGGAATAAGAGAAAAAGAACAACTTTGGAGGTAACACAAAAAGTGGAAATTTTAAACAGACTAGATGCTGGTGAATGTTCATTGTAACTAATGGCTGAGTTCAACATAAGAAAGTTGACATTGTATGATATAAAATCTTCCAAAGAAACTATTCTCCAGTGTTCACACTGTCACAATGAACAAGGAAATAAAAAACATGATTGCAATTAAACCTGGACTGAAATTGAAAAAGCTATTGAAAAGGGTGTCAATTCTATGGAAAGAAAGCCAACATTCAGCTATAATACATGCAGAGTTAAAAAGTTCATTTAAAAAATTTCAAGGACAAAAGCAAAATGAAATGTGGAAAAAGTTGAGAATGACATTAAAAGAGAAAAAATCATCATGCATCAGCGATTAAAAAATCCTCATTGCATTATTTGTTTTGTATACGTGGCATACTTATTTTAATGAATTTTCATTAACATAATTTATTTCTTTTTCCTTAAAATCAATTTTCTTATATTTCACTCATCATTAACTTATTTTGCTTACTATAAAACATTGAAAATAAATGTTAAACCTGATTTCAGTTCTTTTATTTTAATCTAAATATAACCCCCTTATATCCAGACTTTGTAACCAATTCCTCATATCTGAAAAGCCTTCTTAGTCCGGTTGTCAGGGATTCTATTGTATGTAATGGTAAATTTCAAGCAAGAGAAATTTTGAATGAAAACCATAATCATAAATTAAAATAAAGGGAAGCTTTATAATGACAGGGAAACTATTCCAGCAGATTAAATTCCAGTTATTATTAGTTTCCCTAAACTTGTCCCCTACTCAAATGTCATTAAAATCAGTTGCTGTGTTTTTGGGGGGTTTTTTAACATCACTCTGACATGCGTAAATTTAGTTATTAATCGTCAAAACAGATTCTCCAGCAAAATAAAAAAAAAACAATGAAAGAAAGGAAATAAAAAAAGATGGAAACCCCATTGGCAAAATAAAGAATAGAGAGAGAAAGAAAGAGGAAACAACACATGATAAGGGTACAAACTAGGATATTCCTGAGATAACTTTGTATCTAATGGCAACTCCTTATATACAACAGCAAGAAAAGAAAGGAGAGCCATATCCGGTTTCCCCCAAGTAAATAAGATGCTAAAAATAACTACAGAGAAACAACTCGTCCCCATTTTCGGGCAGACAGAATCAATTATACATGTTTTAGATAATATATATATATATATATATATATATATTTATTATGTACATGGCAGTACTGTTTCCTCCCATGAAAAAATAACTTTTGTTTTACATATCAGTAAAGCTTAAGATTTTTAATTATCAGTTTGTCTGTCTGTCTATCTATAATGAAACGTTGAAAGTTGCTTGGCCAGATTCTCTCTAAAAAGTCTATCTAAATGATTAAACATAAAATCCTTCGGGAAAGGCATTTTGGTCAACTGAATAAAATTTCCAGAAGCCACTTATATCTATTGACTTTCATATCTATCATAACAGAAATTGTTAATCTATGATTTTACAGTGGGCTATGATAAGTTTTTAGCCACCATTGCTTACAGCAATTTTGGCTCGTGTAATAACATCTGTTCTTTTTTTTCAGACAATACCATGTCAGTATTAATGATAGTTGACTTGCAATGAAAGTTCGTGGAAGTAAGTAAATTAGTGAATTTCAACAAGGGCAAATAATAGGATGGCATCAGTGTGGCAAGTCAAATAGAGAAATTGCTAGCTTTTTCCAAGTTAATAATCAATCAAGTAATAATATTGTCAAGAAATTTAATGAAGAAGGCCATTGTCATGTGGAACAATGTTCAAGAAGAGCAAACATTGTGTCAGAGTGAAGGAAAAGGGTGCTGAAGAGGGAAGTCATCAGAAACTGTCTTCAGAGTGCCAAAGATGTCACCAACAGCATGGATATGTTGCTATATGCAGTGAGAAAGACTCTGAAAGAACTAGGCTATCAATGAAGAGTTGCAAGAAAGAAGCCCTTGATTTCAGAGGTTAACAGGAACAGGTATATGGACTGGGGGAAGAGAATTTGAGAGCAAATATTATGAATTTTGGCAGTCTGTAATTTGGTCAGATAAAAATAAATTCTGCCAATATTCGAATTTGAGACAGGTTTAAATTTAGAGAAAAAATCAGAATAAGTCTTGGAACACTGAATATCTGAAGAGGACCACGAAACATGGAGGGATTTGAGTAATGGTGTGGAGCACTGCCTGGTTTGGAGGGAAATCTGAGCTGATTCTTGTTGATGAGCAGTTGAATGGTGTAAAATACTGTCAAATATTAGAGAAAGGATTACTCCCACTATTTGAAACCAATCAGATTGACAAGAATGTCTACCTTTTTCAAAAAGGTGGCGCACCATGTTATACGAGCAAAGTAACAAAGGCCTGGAAGGAATCGCAAGGAATCAAGTCACTGCCATGGGTAGCCCAAAATCTTGACATGAATCCAATAGAGCATGTTTGGGAGCACCTTGACCAAAAACTTCAAGAGCATGCAACCAAAATTACATCAGTAGCAACCCTTAAAGATACATTGCCAAAGGAGTGGCAAAATATGGATCAGATGATTGTTGGTAACTTGATCAAAGTCATGAAAAATCGAATACAAGCACTGAAACTAGCAAGTGGAAGACCTACACTATACTAGTTCCAAATACTGTTTATTTATGTTGAGTTGGGATTACATAATTAAATTTTAAAATTGGATGTAGTTTATTTCTCCTGGCTAAAAACTTTTCTTAGGTCACTGTAATAATAATAATAATCAAAAAGGAATTATATATATATATATATATATATATATATATACACACACACACACACACTTTAAAAATCAAGAGATCAGTTGAATTCGCTACCTTGGTTTCAACATTATGGTATCTTCAGGCGATTTTTATCAAATGACCTCTTTATTATTTTGGAACCAGAAATCTGAAGTCTTGTGTCCTTGAATACATATTAAGAAATTCCTCTTAAGGCTGGATAAAAAAATTACATTTCAATTTACCCCAATCGATACTTTTCTTATCTTTCCTCTTCTTTTTCTCCTTCCTTATCCACATCCTCCTCCTCCCTTTTTATTACACCCAATGTCGTGTATTTGTTTAGTTAATCTTTTTTTAAAATATTGTGTTCATGAGTTTTTTTTAAAATAAAGTGTTAAGAGGTCATTTGATAAAAATCGCCTGAGGTTGAAACCAAGATAGCAGATTCACTCATTCACATTCCCCATCAACTTCCTGAGGAGTATGGAACCACAGCTCTCAAGTCCCATAGATCCCCTGAGGAGTATTGGGCAACAGCTTTCAGCACACAAGGCATTGCTGCTGTGATTTCCATAACAAGTTTTTATGAGGTGGAGTTACTAGCACTGTGCCCAACTGGTTGTGAATTGAATTCAGAATTGTCTTTCTCCTAGACTGGTTTCCAACCATGGCTAAAGAACCCAGTCAATCCTACTATTTAATTCATACTATCTGTTCTTTGGTTTTCAACATTTTTCAGTTTTTTTTTTAATTCCTTGCAATAAATGAGCTAATGGTAGTAAATGGAATATTCAGGTTGTTTGAGATTTTCCTGTAACCTTTACCTTCTTTTCAGAGCTTAACAATCAGTTCTTTTTGCAAATTTGTGAATTTTTTACCTCTGATGAAAACCTTCCTGCACGAATATCAAATACAGAATGTTCTGTTTGTATTTTTTTAGGGTAAAAATAACTACTGATAACATTATTGGAACATTCTAGAATATTCCACTTGAATAATCTACATTATTGAAGCAATTTACAAGTTTTCAAATCTGAAATTTGCATTGTACAAATACTTTTTTTTTTACCCATTAAAATAGATAAATGGGATTTATTTCTATTGAATCAAATTTTTTTCTGTTTTCTATCCATATTTAGTTATTATGCATCTGTGTAGAGTTAATTATATGAAAAGTATATTTATTCATTAGTTAAATACAATAAATTAAAAATTTGTATGCGTACTAATATTTTTTTCTCCCTACTGTGTATTACTTTTATAGAAGTGAAAGTGAAAGTAAAGAAACAAAATAATCCTGGCATTCTCATATTTTTAATGACAATATAAATTAATAACTTCAAAGATAGGGAAAAAAACAAAAGAAAATACAGAGTTTTGTGGAAAAACTCTGAAAAGTTCAGAAGAAAAATCTTTGTTTGATGGATCAAAGTGCATGAGATATCTTCTTCATGTTTTCAATAAAAATAACAAAAATAAAATTGTAATGATAGAAAAATAAATAAATAAGAAGAAAAAAACCCAAAATTTTCCCATCTTTAAAAACAGAGAAAAATTCAGAATCACTACACTAGGAGGCAGTGGGGTAGCTAGAGTAAACATCACCCAGGGCGGTCCGCTCAAATGTCACCCCGATACTGAATGGTTAGCTGTAGCTAAATTTTCATACATGCTCTACCTCTACTTTACTCTACTGACCGGTACGTTACTGTTTACATGTATGATCCAAGACAAAATCCAATACAACAAAAAAATCAGTTCAAATCAAAAGCTGAAAACATTGCTATTTTTCCTACTCACAAATTTCCTGACGATTTATTAGAAAATTTCTGAGGCGGGGGACAAAACTGGGGAGGGGTTCATATGCCAGCCTGTGAAACCCTGTGTCTCCCCCACTGTTTTCAGACTATTTTTGGCACCTTAGCCTGGTTGAAAAATTTTGTTGGGGGTGACATTGTGTCAACCCTCTTGTGCTGGCACCCAGGTCGGTCCGCCCCCCTCCTTAGCTACGCCACTGCTAGGAGGTCATATTTCCACAAAGCAATCCATCCTGGATATGATGATAAACTACATCCACATCCTGGGTAAGACGATAAATTATATCCAACAGCAAGGCCTCTGATCAGAAGGTTTTGAAGAGCATGGAAACACCTCTTAATTGCTGGTATTCCCAGGTCCACCCTGACCCAAGGTGGTAGCACCTGGTAGCGTCCCAGATATGGGTAATATAGTTAACCCCCAAAGTGTGGTCAAAACACTATGAAAGTGTAAAAATAGGTTTTAATACCAGAAATACATTGTAAAAAAGTATTACTAGCAATAAATTTTTGAAGAAAATTATTACCAGCAATACATTTTTGAAAAAAAAATTACTAGCTATACATTTAAAAAAAAAATTACCAGCAATAAAAATCTTGTTGGCATTAAATAACTGATATGCTGTAAAAAAAAAAAAAAACGAAAACAAACCAAAGCACAAAGCAATCAGATACGACATCAACAAGTATATGATAGTATAGTCGAGCAAACTAATTTGAATCCTCCCAACAAGGATATTAACACCACAGTCTAGTGAGCTAAGATTTGTTCTCAACAATAATATGAGCTGTGGACCAATCAGAAAACAAGTAGTAATTTTAAAATGGATCTTTTTGTTTCATCTGCAGAGCTAAGCAAGAAGACAGGAAGTTGAATCAAATTAAACCAGAATTGAATTAATTTTATCAATTCTCTAATGCTGTGGTCATTATAACACCCCCCACACCTGCCAGCTGAAATACAACACTTCAGCACAACCAATACAGTAAGCACATAAATGCACCTATTTCCTTCCATCATTTACACAGGCAACTGCAACATCTGAATATATATATATATATATATATATATATATATATATATATGGTACAGCACATCAGGCCAAATGACAGTTCCGTGAATGATACGTGTTCAATTCCTGTCAGAGGACACATATTTTCTATGAAATTTCTCAGACATTCAGGTTGGTAAATGTAATTAATACTGTTTATTATAAACGTAGCATTTACTTGAATATTTGTATCTATAAAAATAACATATAAACAGAAAACATATGGTAGGGCATACAGAGAAATATATGTGTGTGTGTATGTATGTATATTTAGGCAGCATATCTTCATTCAAGCATGTTTCATTAAATAATACAGACATATTATGTCTATTTTTATAATAATCCTTTCTAGTTCTATAATTAG